TGAGCATCCCCCCCCTTTGCCCCCGGACCCTCTCTTGAAAGCGCAGGATCCCTTGCGGGAGGGTTGGTTCCCCGCACCCCCGGTACCCCCCGCCGGGGGTACCCGCCTTTACGCCGGCGCCGGCTGCAGCGCGGGGGAGATGCTGGGGGTTTGCCTCCCCGCAAAACAGCGGCAAGCGGTTAAGATTTAGTAAATACCGCTGGGCAAAAATGAGAGGAAAGTTGCCGCTGCCGGGGAGACAGCGAGAGGGAGAGAGGGAGAGGGATGACTCTGTAATTGTTGCCTTTACCAAGGCTGTGAGATTAACCACTGGGACTTATTCTAAAGTGACCCATCACCGAATTCATTTCTGCTTGAACTTTCGGTGAACCTGAGATTAAAGAGGGGAGAGCAGCTAAGCAGTTTGTTGTTAGCTGCCTTTTCAACAGCCCTTTCAGACTGAGTAAATATTGATCGGTTTCAATCTGATTGCCCCAGAGGAAAACGCCAAAGCATCTCAATAGCCTCCAAAAGTAAACTTTAAAGGTGAACAGCAGAAATGGCCTTAAGTATGATAGGAAGATGCTAAACTCCATTTGACATTTGGACGCGGTTTGGGTTGTCGGTTTGTTGGTTTTTGGGTTTGGTGGTTTGGGTTTTTTTTGGCGGGGGGGGTGTCTTCATTTTTTCCCCTCAGGCTCTAGAAAGAAAAATTAAAATAAATTTTAAAAGGTGTAAAAACAAAAAGATCCCTACGACCTGAAGGGCAAATTAGTGTCTCCATCAGGCCAAAGCACGCTGTGATTTTTTTAGCGATATTTTTGTGGTAGAAACTCTAAGCTAGAGATTTTTCATTCTTCTTCCCCACACCTCCTAACCCGAAAGGCTGATCGTATCGAAATAATAATAACGCTCAGAAAGTGAGCCGGAATCGGGAGGTTTGGGGTGTCTTTGCTTGAAATCGATCAGGGCTGTGGGGGAAAAAAGAAAAAAAAATAAAAATAAAAAAGAGATAACCCGGTGTTTGGGCTTGGAAAGGGACGGGATTCTTTGCCGATGAATCGCTCCCCGCAGATTGACGCACTGACAAGTGTCTTGTCTCCCGCATTTAGGCTATAATTTATGGCCGCTCTTTCTAACACATTAAGTCAACACCGGGGGAGCCGGGTTGCAGATCCGGATTCCAGCAATGTTTAGATCCAGATTTCGATATTGAAATGCCCTCATTGGCATGCAAATGCCACTTTAACACATCCAAGTCTCTGGAAGAAGGCCATCTGTTTTGCTTTGTGGCTTTACACTAATAAACAAAAGGTAAAGTATATGGCAGGCGGGGAAATGAAAGAAATAGAGGCGGGAGCCTTTGGAGACAGCCCTGCTCCCTCGCAGATAGCTCGGCTCTTGATATGGCCGCCGCGCCTTGCAAATCAGGGCTTGTCTCTTTTGACACCGAAGTGAAGAAAATTGCGTTGACTCTCTGCGGATCCCGCAAAGCCGAGCCTGCGTGGGCAGCCCGGCCCCGGGAGAAGCCCGGGAGCGCTCCTCCGCAGCTGGGCCGGGTGAAGGAGATGTCACGCGTGTTTGCGCTGAAATTCAAGAGGCAGCAGTGATTTGAGGCACACACACCCCCCGTCCAGCTGAGCATGCCTCTGCTCCGTCCTGCCACCCGGTTTCTCCCTCCCTCCCCGACCCGCTATTCATTTGACACCTCTTGGAAATCTTATATTTACCTGCGAGAACGTGCTCTTTTTCCCGGGGGAAAAAAAAAAAAAAAAAAAAAAAAAAA